ATCTCTGCAGGTACCTTTATTTTTTGTGAGAATAGGGGAAATGGATGTAGAAGGGCGAAGTGTGTAATATTGTAGGGCATTTTCAGGTGAAAAGCATTGTTAATTTAGAAGAATATTTTTTCCATTTCCTTTGAATGGGAATAACCAGCTATAAATATTGTTCATCAGGAGCTCAAACAATGTTACTGCTTAGCTTCCAATGCAAACATGACCATTTTATGGAAAATTTATCTATATACATTTAAACAGCTTATGTGTAAATAACTTATCAGCCCACATTGTTTTTTTTTAAACCAATCTGCTTTCTTCCTGTGATATTGTGTCTAATCAATTTAATGTTGTGGGCCTTCTTTATTTCCTCGGTTGGCACATTTGCAGGTTGCAATGATTTTCAACAATTTCATTTGATTGGAGTCCCAGAGCACCAAACCCAAAGGACATTGGGCTCATGTTTTATTTCTTGTACCTTTGCTACTTTCTGCTTTGCAAAGTCTTGACTGAGTCAGGCCCCAAGGGAAGATGGGCTGATATTGGATCCATGACTGTACGCCCCAAACTTTAGATGGGATGGAACAATGAAAGCTCTTGATTAGGCAGGAAGGAGCTTCTGCCAGTTATAAACAAATAAATAATCAATAAACAACCAGCCCTTAAAATCATAATGAGGGTGAGGGGACGTGTGTGTGTGTGTGTGTGTGTGTATGTGTGTGTGCATGTGCACGCGTGCACACGTGTGCTTGTGTAACTAAATGTGTATAATACACGTTGACTGTTCTTTAGACACAGGAGAATCTTTGTCCCTTAATCTGTACTTGCATCCTCCCTTTACTGTTGAATTCTGTGCCCATTTTTCCATTACCTTTTGCACTTGTAAATTTAAAAATTATTTGGGTATGAACACCTTGGAGGTGAGAGTAATCATTTCCCCAACTTACTGATGAAAATTGATAGGAGGCTGTTGAGAGATGGTGATAGAAAAGCACGTGTGAGAAAATGACTAATGCTGAAAAGGAAAGAGAAGGACAATACAGTAAGAAATGCAACTGCCAAGAGCATCGACCATTTAGCTGGTCAGTACATTATTTCCCTGGGTGAGAAACATATTCTGGAAATTAAATTAATTCTAAGAGTTTTTCCAGAGCAGTGGAATCTGACTTTATGGAATCTTATCAAGCTGTGATCATTAGATCAGTTACTCTCCCCATTAAATGAATACTAACATTGGATGGGTGGGTTGTTGTGCTAATGACCTGCATGGTATTATATAACCACTTACCGATTCCTCATTATTTATGGTTATGATTCTATGGGATCCCTCTCCTGCTGTTAGGGACGGCCTGTGCAGGACAGAGGTTTCTGTTGGAAGATAGATGACACAAGCATCCATTGCCTGGTTTGCTTTGGGATTCTGCGATGACCCTTAATTTTTCTAGTTTACATTTATTTTGAATGTCTATATATATTTTTCCTTCATCTAAGTTACTAAACATTTAGATTTTCAGGTGGCTTGGATTTGGGAGGTGGGTAGCTTTGAGTTGTTAAAATCTAGTGTTACTGCATGTGGTCAAAATGTACTGCTTGTCTGATTTCTTCTTTTTGTCATTTATGAGATTTTTCTTTATGGCCTAGTACCTGATACATTTTACAAATGTTTCTTTTTTTTTTTTAACATCTTTATTGGAGTATGATTGCTTTACAATGGTGTGTTAGTTTCTGCTTTATAACAGAGTGAATCAGCTACACACAAATGTTTCTTTAAAAAGAATATTTGTATTGCTACTGGGACTGGTTCCATAGACATTAAACTTGTATCACTGGAACCTTCTGCACTACTCAGAGTGTTCCTTCTCTGATCCTGGCTGGTCCTACCTTTTCACATTCTACTTTTTTTTATATCCCACTGGGTCTAGGGAAATGAGGGCAAGGAGGGTGGGAGCAGCACAGCTATGTGGGGCAGTCTGAGGGCCAAACATTATAGGAAGAGCCCTATGCTTGGACTGTTGTGAATTAGGTCATCTTTCAGCACGAATGAAAACACAATTTAAAGGAGTTGTTATAATGGAATTGGCTCTTTCAGGACTCCATTCCCCTTTTTTCTTTTGGTCAGTCTTGATTACTTAAATTCTTTAATTTAGGTGAAGCAAGTTATTTTAGAGGAATTTAGTCTGTGATAAAGGATAAAGCATAGCTTGTTGCTGTATGTGTTCATTTCTGGGGAATGGGCTAGAGGGGTTCAGCATGATACTCTATAATGAGGGCATGTTGGAAATGAATTGGCTGATTTCTTTCTGTTTCTTCCTCTTTTCTCTTTGTACATACCCTCTTTTATGGAATATGGTATCACTCTTGTGTTTCACTGAGGTTGATTGTTGCACAGCGGTGAAGAGTTCAGGCTCTGGAGCCAGTTTGCCTGAGTGGGAATCCTGTCTCCACTGCTTATTAGTTCTAAGACCCTGCGCAGGTCACTGACTCTCTCTGTGTCTTGGTTTTCTCATCTGTTAAATTGAATAGTACCTACTGCATAGGGTTGTTGTCAGGACTAAATAAGATATAATATATGTAAAGTGCTTAGAATAGTACCCAGTGCTCAATAAATGTAAGCTATTATCATTATTCCATTGGTTAGGTAGATAGCCTGCCTCTCATTTGTCTATGACATTATATCAATTTGGATAAATAAAGAATAAATTTCAACTGTCTAACATTAAGAAAAAGAACTAAATGTTAACTGCCTGAATTTTTTTAAGTAGCCAAATGTGAATCTCTTGAGTATCATTGCAGTGACCACAAAGAGTAATCATTGTTGTCACTGCTTAAATGATGGTTTGCTTTTCGGAGGAAAAGCTATCATTTATAGATGCTTTTATATATGCTGAGTTAAGGAGTTCTCCATGTACATGGTCTGATTTTTTAAGCATTATTAAAGTTACTGTATCAAAAATAGGATTAATTAAAATTTGTCCTGAAGACTTTAATGTACCATTAATAAGGCTTTTCTTGTTCCCTGTGCAGTGTCAAAACTCCCCTTCAGATTTGAGGTATGGAATCTGATTTAGAACTTAGAAGACTTCAGTAATTAACCATGATGGTCGTGTACATATAATTAGCCATTGGTTAACGATGTACAGTCATGTTGATGAGCAGCCTTGTTTAGTTTTTGTTTGTTTATGTAAATACCTGAAGCAAATAGCAATTAAAGGGAAAGCTTGGTTTGTCTAAATTTAGTTCTTATAAAGCTTAAAATGTTTCGGAAGTGATGAAGTCTAGGGTCATAGAATAAGACATATGTCATGGCTGAACTCAAATCCCCAATTCTTTGACTATAAGATACATTAGGCCTTTGGGGATTTATGGGGTGGAAGGGGCAACTCATTGGTTGAGAATAATTTCTAAATATGTAACTTGTTTTTGCTGAGAGTAGCAGTGGTGCTATATACCTTTAAAAACATCGACTACTTCTTGTTCCCTTATATCTGGTAGGGAAATGCTATACTTTCAGATGCCCATTGCACCTCATCTAGGCTTACCCCAAAGTTGATGTCAGTAGGTGGTGTTTGGGGGGAATCATCCATGAGGTCCTGGGTACATGGGCTGGCGCTTGGGTTGTGGGCTGTGGGGAGGCAAGGGGGTTGTGGAGAGGAGTCATGTGGATCCTGTGACTAGGAATCTAGCCCTCTCTCCCTGCTGCTGGTGGCTGTAAGATGGGTGCTGTTAGCCGTTGCACTTACCTCCAGGGAGCAGGTGGCCCACGCTGTGAGGCCACTGTAAAGCACTTACTGGGAGGCTGGCAACTGAGGATGGTAGCAAGTGACAGGTCAAACATTGTTCAAGTCCTTCTTGAGTCGTACAGAAGGAATGTGGGAGTGTGGTTAGAGACCCAGGTGCTGAGCCCAGCTTCATAACTCATTCACTGTGGGACCTCCATGATCGTCTCTAATTTTCTCTGTGAAAAATAGAGAATAATAAAATGATGCCACCTGCTTACCTCAAAGAGTGTTCTGAGGATTAATGAGTTAATCGCCTTGGATGAAGGCAGCAGAGGTTCTCTTGTTATAATTTCATCACCTTTCCAGAGAAGCTCCAGTTTGGTGGAATAAATAAAGTAGTGGAAAGAAGATAGGAGTGGAAAGAGCTATCGACAACTTAGTTGGTGTCTTTCAAGTCTAACTGTAGGTCAGGTTTCCATTCTCGCTGGGGAATTTTAGTGTAAAATTTCTACATATTTTTTAGAAACGACACCAAACCAAATGTCTGACCTGCTGCCTGTAGGAAAAGAACAGATGTTTATTCTGAGAACATATTAATAAAAATGTTAGTGGTTTTCTCCCACCGTAAAGGAAGAAGATGGGTCAAAAGGGAGAGCCTAGATTTTAGTAGAGTTCGCTCGCATTGTTCCATTACTGATGTGCCCTTTTTGAGAGAGTTGGTATTGCTTGATTTTGTTGATTTTTTGAGTTTCTTTGACAAAGAAGCGTCATAGATATCAAGCCAAAACAAAACAAGAAATATAAACTCACACACCCAACAGTTGCTTTAAATACCAAGGATGTCAGCATGAAATTAAAATGAATCAACTGACATTTCTGCTTTGAAATTTTTTTAGTAAAATTAATTTAAACCAACAGTGAAAACTTCTGTGTCTACCTTATAATGGAAAGTTTGACCTTTTTCAGTGTTTTTGGCTTAAGGGTGTTGACATTGGGGCGTTTTTGGTTAAAATTTGCTTCAACTCTCTAACAGCTCTTGGGATTTTGGTCAATCTTTGGTGGCTGAATAGCAAATGCTGTCAATTGCGTTGGTACTATGTAGTTTCCAAAGACAAGGTCTCTGAAGTAGTGGATATGGTATCCCCTCCTGCCCATGTGTAACTGTTTAAAAGAACACTGTTGTCATGTGAATTCTTATTTTTTTGAGCTTGCTTTTGAAGTTAACTTTCACAGAGAATTCCTGTTACCTAGAAATTGATGACAGACTTACACCATTTCCTTTTTTTTTCTTAGACGTTCCATCCTCAGAGCAGCCTGAACTGTTCCTAAAGAAACTTCAGCAGTGCTGTGTCATTTTTGACTTCATGGACACGCTATCTGATCTTAAAATGAAAGAATACAAGCGCTCCACTCTTAATGAACTGGTGGACTACATTACAATAAGCAGAGGCTGTTTGACAGAGCAGACTTACCCTGAAGTAGTTAGAATGGTGAGTTTCTTTTTTTCGCCGCGGACACATTTAAGCACCTTCCTTAGGGACTCACAGGTGTATTTACTGCAGGGTCAGGTCACTGGAGGTCACCTCCACAAATGAGAGCCAACCTTCTGAGAGCTAAGCACAAGTAGTTGGCACAATACTAAAATTTGAAGAGCATGATTTCATGAGAATGAAATCCAGAACTTTTCACCTACAACAGTATTGGAGGAATCAGTGATTTCAAAATACGAAGAAAGATTGCCAGGGTGTTACTGGATTTCTGGCATTGGGAAAAGAAAAGACACAGGAGAATCAACAAAAGTTTTAGATCTGTGTTTGAAAAATATTCAAGCCTGTTGGATGTCTTGATTTTTTTTTCTTCTGCCTATTCACTGTGGTATATTAGAAATGGCTTTAAGCTGAATGAAATCGTGATATGTAGAATCTAGGTAAAGCCTCTCTTGGCTTTATAAACTACTCATTCTCTTTATAATCTTAGAAACAGGAGTGATGTCTTTCATTATTTTTGAACAGCGTCTTGTAATTTGTGTGGTCGTTAAGAGTTATGAGAAGAACCATTATTAGCATAATATGAGTAATTATGTTCTTATTGTGTCAATAATTATATTAGTTTTTCAGAAGCTGAGCCAAAATATAGTTTTCTGTTAGATTTCTGTGGGAGGGTTGCCTTCCTTGGCATCCTAGAAGATCTTGGATCTAGAGAGCACATGATATCTGGAGGAAGTGGGGCTGGTCTACTAACTCGAGAAGTTATGCTGAAGAGATCCAAGGGGGTCAGTGCATCATGGGAAGCCCACTGGGGAATCTCGCCCACCCTCTGTGTACTGCTGAAAATGTACTTAGCCTTTCTTTTTCACTTGTATTCAACAAATGCAGAAAAGAGACATCTGTGATGGGGTAGTTATGGTTAAAAATGAATAGTTCAGATTTGGGAAGGGACCTGAATTATCACAACTTGAGAAACTATGACAGATATATGAAGGTCATTTCAAAACAATGTCCAATATATTCCTCAGATCCATATTGGAGTGTATATTGCATTTGTTAATTTATAGGAACGTAAAACAGGGTTTGTATGCTAACTGTTTATATTGTGGTTCTTGAGCAGTGGCTCTCAACCAGGGGCGATTGCCCTGCCAGGGCCCCTTGGCATTGTCTGGAGACATTTTTGGGAGTCACAACCAGGGGTGGGAGGTGGGGTGCTACCAGCATCTAGTGGGTAGAGGCCAGGAATGCTGTTAAACACCTTACAATGCACAGGACAGCATTGTACAACAATTTTGTAGATAATTCTACAACAAAGAATTATCTGGCCTCAAATGTCAATGATGCCACTGTTGAGAAACCATGCTCTAGAGTTTGCATGTTCTCTAAACCTCTTACCCTGATACTTAGGATATTCTCTAGTCTACCTGCCTTCTGCAGAGCACAGTCCCTTGGTTTTAACCTACCCATGTCCTCAGCTAACAGAGGTATCCACCGTTTATAAATTTCTTCTATATCTTTCCATGGATAGTCCGTGAATATTGAAGCATATACAAGCATATATGTATAAATATTGTTTTTTGTAAACACACAAATGGTAGCATAGTATACACACTCTCTGTGCCTTGCTTTTTTTACTTAGCAGTATATAATGTACATCAGTACATATAAAGCTGCCTCATTCATTCTATAGCTGCATTTCGTTGTGTGGATGTGCCATAATTTATTTAACCACGACCCCATGGATATCCTCGGACACACCTCAGTTCGCCCTTCTGCGAGAACATCTGGGTATTTGTGGATTTGTTTTGTAATAGCCCTTTTCCCTGTTCCTGGACCTTTGTGAATTCCCTGCCCTCCTGCCTTTAATTCTGATTTGCCCCTTCCTTTCAAGGTCTGGCTTACAGTGCTACCACTGGTTCCTGAAAAGCCCAGAGTTTTCCCTTCCTTCACTTCTACCACTTCTTGGCAACTCACCCTTTTAGAATTTGTTCATTTGCTGCTATTTAATCCTTTTGCACGTTTATCTGATTTTTCTAATTAGGCTGTAAGTACTCCTAAGCAGGAACTGTTCCGAGTTGTCCTGCACATCTCTGTGGCCTCTGTAATACCTCGTAGCCCAGGCCTACCTGGAGATTGTTGAATGAATAGATGAATTCCCTCTTAAAATAGGGGCATTTTAGGCTCTCAAATTAGGATGAAAATATTGGATGTCATTGGATTATATTCAGCTTTAAACCCAGTAGCTGGCATAATCCAAAAACCCATTCATTCCTGTGAACCAACTTGGTCCTAAACCAGCTTGAGTCTCTCAGAGGAGACCATTTTCTCTTCTTATCACCTCCCCCCATGCCCCTCTACCCCAACAAAAAAACTTTAAACGAAAGACTCCTGGGCTTCCCTGGTGGCGCAGTGGTTGGGAGTCCGCCTGCCGATGCAGGGGACGCGGGTTCGTGCGCCAGTCGGGGAGGATCCCACATGCCGCGGGGCGGCTGGGCCCGTGAGCCATGGCCGCTGAGCCTGCGCGTCCGGAGCCTGTGCTCCGCAGCGGGAGAGGCCACAACAGTGAGAGGCCCGCGTACCGC